ACATATATATATATATATATATATATATATATATGTGTGCGTGTGTGTGTGTGTATATTAAATTAAATTAATGTATAATTTGTAAACTACATAGTTACAAAAAATATATATCAATAAAAACATTAACTATAAAATGCATATTATTATATTATTATATACTGTATTTATCATCTTAAAATCATATATCAATATAATCTAATACTATACATCCATGTATCTATCTATCTATCTATCTATCTATCTATCTATCATCTATCCATCCATCCATCCGCTTTGATATGTTTTAAAGTATGGTTTATATATAAACATGTTTTATACATTTAAAATTCATAGCAATAAAAGTATTACACATTGTATATGCAGCATTGCATATGATACGTACATGCAATATTGCATTTTAAAAATGTTTAAATAGTATACTGAAAATAACTTTTCATACTCTCAAAAACAAAATACATCAAAACACATAAAAAACTATCAAACAAATTTTTTTATTGCTAGTTGCTGCAGCCTTATTTTATTTCCATGAGTCTCCAAACTTTCCTAAAGCTTTGAATCAATAAACTTGCTTGCCACAAACAAAACCGTATTCTTTTGTGACCCTTCCGCTGCATTCATCTCTGCGCCTTCCTTTTCCTGCCTCCGAGCTCTTTGTCCTAAGTCTAATTTGTCGGAATCACTAAAAAGCGAGGAGAGGGGGCATACGGCTGCTCAGATCTCCTGGATAATTCTATTGGACGCTTCTAATTAAATCAATTAGGGCTATTATAGCAATTATCCGGCCAAATGGGACCGCATTGTGCCCACTCGATACATTTAGTAAATTCTGTCAATCTTCTTATCACCTAGATGGCACACGCCGTAACCCCGTTTTAATGATGTACCTGGATATGCACAATGTCTTGCACGTGGTTTGTCTTCCTCATCAAATCAAAATGATAGTGAGGCTCTTTTGTGCCTCCAGCCCACTCGAACACACACATTAACGCAAAATCTGGATGTAATTTGTTTTTGTCATGCTGTGACTTCATTTCCTTGCTTGTAATGGGGATATTCTATGCATTGACTAATAAATAATTAATTAGCGAGAGATCCGGGCTGTCAAACAACATTTCCTGCAACAGAAAATCACTTATTTTTGTGCAATATTTGTACCAAATAGCATCCTGCCACCTTACTTTACCACATAAATTTACTTTGATATATAGTTTTAAGACTCACATACTGTACACACATGAACAGCAACATTTCAGTTTCATGCATGAAAATACAACTTCCAAACTATCTACCTTACTTTTTAATTAATTGTAGCAAAAACAGTATTACAAATAATTCCTTTGCTCCCAACCACTAGAATCTGGAAATCGTAAAGAAATGTTTTCTTGAGAAGCTAAATTGCATAAGATAAGAAGTCTTGTTTTCTGTCGAATTGATCAGAACGAAGTTGACTGCATGATTAATACAAGACAGAAAATCTGCCAATCAACTTGACTTAATTAATTATTTAATCAAGTACCCCATCGAGAGATATTTGTTGCTGTTTTCAGCATAATTAACTTAATTTTGTTCAGTTTTTCAAGACTTCATTAAACCTTGAGACATCTTCAGTTAATGATGTTTGAATACTTGTGTTGAAAAACAAAAATACTGAGGACGATTTTCATTTTTGGCAATGCATGAACCATTTAATGCCATGACTTTATGATGGCCTTCATTTGTGGAAGGGCAAAGTAAGACCTTTTAAGACCTACAGAAACTCTGATAATATTATATTTATATACATACCTGTATATACAGTACATTATAAATACATAAAATATAAATAAACAAAAAAGATTTTCTCACCTCATAGAGTGTAATGCCTCCATTAGTTTCATTCGGAGCCTTCCATTGCATGAAGATCTTCTCCTCGTATGGGCCTGTCTGAATGGACTCCATTGGAATGGGGCCAGGAACTGGTATAGAAACACAAACACACATTCAAAACATTTAGCAACTCAAAAACATGTTTAGTCAATATCTATAACTCAAATACTGTACCATTGCATCAACACCTTTAAATAAAACGTGACTGTTTTGAGAACAGAGGTGACGTAGGGTGACAGAAATGGCTTGTGTTGCTGGGTAGAAGAGCAGAGATTGGCTGACTAAAGAAGCAAAACTATGTCAAACACACCTCAGCCGCAATGTTCGAAGTGTGAATTGTAACAGCTTTGCTACCCTTCGGTATCGAGAGGTGTTAACAAGTGCTACGAGTACCACTGAGCGCATATGCGTGTGTCTATTTGCATATTTTTGTGCGCACGTCCCCTCTAGCACACATTGCAAGTTTTCCAAATATACTCTTGCTAGAACATCATTAACACCCTAAAAACCTGTTTTCAAGATGCCATTATCCATACACAGCTTCATCCTGCTCTCGTATGCCAGAATGGCATTTTTAGAGATGCTATGACTTGACGATTTCATAAATTAGCAAGCAAATATGCTAATTTGACTCAGTTTGTCAATAGCTAATAGGATTAGTAATTTGTCAACAGTATGTTAACTTGAGGCTAGTTGTCTTTCATTTCTCGGTCTTGGTTAGTGTCTTTGACTTGACTGTTAGCGATGACACACTAATGAGTCAGACTGTTCCTGACAGTGTGTGCAATGAGAGCTAATGACTTGGCTAAAAGGCCATTTAGTCCAACTTGCTTTGCACTAAGTCGCGGCTAATTGGGAGGGCAGATTAAAGAGATGAGCGTAGCAGGGCCGTAACGGGGCAAGCGGGAGAGGAAGCTCGGGCACAAACAGATTAGCTGGAGGTCGTCTTGAACGGCGAAGAAAAGAATGGCAACATCTATTGCTCATGCAGCATTTCATTAACACAGCAACAACACACGAACCTAAACCATGAACTATTTCATTGAGGAAAAGCTCATTTATTTTGGGAATCTCATTTATTTAACAAAAGAGAATGTTTCTTTTTTTCCCACTTTGAACAGATTTAATCTCATTCAGTTCTTTCTGTTTATTTCTTTTGCATGCAACTAAGCTCATCTTCAAAATGCTGAAAGGTAGAGATATTTGCCTTCATTCATTATTAAAAGCTGAATAGACTTTAGCATGTATTCTTCAATGGGAAAAATTTATAACTTAAAATACAAACACTTTCACTGTGTGCTGAGATTTGAGAGGATACATTAATAAAGCATGCAAATAATGTCCACACACAATTATGATTTATGAAACAATCATGTTGTCCCCCCTAAAATTCCACCATTACTGAATAATGTAATGTAAAGTGTACATGAACTTTAGTTTGGATGTTTATGTATATGCGTATAATACTGTGTTTGAATGTTCATATATACTGGCATACATTATGCTTGCTTTTCTTGATTTTTGTTCTCTTCATTTTGTAATAGTTCAAAGTATTAAGTTATGTCTTGAGATGTATAATTGTTTCTTCCAATTAATGAGGGAAAAAAGAAAGGATCTCATTTCATCTTATTCTTTCTGTTTGTTTATATTGCATAAGCTCCAGTTCATCTTCATTTGCCTTAAATCGCTATTAAAAGCTGAATAGTCTTTGGCATTTATTCTTTATAGGAAATGATTTGAGCTAATCTGATATTTCAAATATTTATTGTGAGTATTACAACTGCTGAGGTCTGAGAGGATGCATTATTAAAACTTTAAAATCATTTCTAGCCAATGTCCATACAATTATTATTTATGCAATAACGGCATTTTCTTCCAAAGTTTCACTATTACTGAACAACAACAATTTCATTAGCAGAAATACATTTTCTGAACTAATCAGTGAGCACAAATGCACCAAACTTTATGTTGTAAGAGAAAATTGATATTGGTGAATATAGTCATTTATGGAAATCTCACTCATAGCATGCTGAAAACAGAAAGTTGCTTTTCCCACATAGAACAGATTTCCTCTCATATCATTCTTTCTGACTATTTCAATCGCATGCAACTAAGTTCATCTTCAAAAGGTAGCGAGGTTGAGTTATTTGCCCTCAATCGCAATTAAAATCTGAATAGTCACTGGCATTTATTCTTCGATGGGAAAAGAATTGAGCTAATCAAAGAAAAAGTGAATAACGCTCTCTCACCGAGGTGCTGATGTCAGATATTGTACTGCAAAGTGAGGCCAGTTAAATTATATTTTCAACGATTCTTCAAATAGCTTGATTGGGCACTAGCCAACAAGCATATTAAATCACGGTTACAATGAAATATAATTAGATCCAGTCCTCCGTCCGCTACCTTTTCCACCATATAACCATGCATGTGTGAGAAATGCCGCTTTACGTATTAATCCAGCTGATTAGCTTCTCGTGTGGAGACTGTGAGTGATGTTTCATTAAGTTTGAGGTGGAGGAAACAATTTTTCCCCTTTATGCTTGTCCCTCTCAAATACAAATAACTTTTAATAGGTTTCGTAATTATCATACATTGAATCTTACTGATTATTTTCGTCTCTGAATAAATCAGGCTCAACATATTCACTCTGTTCCTGTTTACGCTTGTTTACGGGCAAGCAGCTTTCCGTAAGTACAGGGTCGGTGTTGTTGTTGACCTAATAAGGTACAAAATGCTCTGCTGTCCTCATGTTAATTTCACCCTCCTGCAATTATACCCATATAAGGTAACACAGAGGGACAAATTTGCTTCACTATTGATATGTTGCAGCTGTCCATCAATTTGCGAACACAAAGGACAGCAATTATAGGTTTTCATATGCAAAAAACATTTACAAAAAAGAAAAAAACATCAGTGCGGCAGACAAGAGCAGATACTGAATAACCAAAAGAGTTCTATCCAGATCAAAACAGACTCATCAGAACATGAAAAACGAAAAGAAAATGAGATGAGCTTGAATTATACGCTATAATCTAATAATCTAAGGCCTGACAATAGGCTTTATTTTCACACGGCTTTATTGCTCAGCATTAAAAACAAGCTGGGAGAAATTAATTGTAAATGGAGGCTGAGTGCTTCCCTCTGGGAAATTTTCGAATTAAGCACCGCTTGCAAACCTTCCCTCCGTCTGAGAAACATTGTGTCTTTTCACAGACTGTGAAGCTTTAACATGCTCTTCCTGTACACTGGGATTTCCTTTTAACTGCAACACATCAATGGAACGGATGGATTAAAGGAGGACGGCTTTCATCATCTTTGTTTCATATTTGTTATTTTTCTTCGGGAAGAGCACAACAGTACTACGGTCTAACAATTCTGTTTCCATTTACTTCTCTGAGTGGATCTGACTTCTGTACAGAACTGTAGTGATTCTCAAATACACAAGACAATCTAATGTCTTACAATACAAACACTTTCACTGTGAGCATTACAGCTGCTGAGATCTGAGAGGATGCCTTATTAAAACATTAAAATAGTTTCGAAATCGTTTACAAAAGTATGGCTTATGCAGCAATGATGATTTTTCTAAAGTTTCACCATTACAGAGCCAATTTAATGTGTACATGAGCTTTAATTAAATATTGATTTATTTAAAAAGCACACTGGTTTACTTTATTAGCGGAAATAAATCAAATGATAACAACTGCATCAAACTTTAAGTTGTACTACAAAATATAATGTACATTAGATGGAATACAGAATATTTGCCATTGGCGTTGTTTTAATATATGATGGAAAACAGCATCACTGAATTATAAAATAATTGCATTTCAACACTATTGTTCAAAAGTTTAGGGTCAATAAGATTTTTTTTTTTTACGTTTTTGGATGATGCAAGGATGAATTAAACTGGTCAAAAATGGCTGATACATTTAAGGTGTCACAAAAGATTTCTATTTCAAATAAATGCTGGTCTTTTGAACTTTCTAGTCATCGAGAATTCTGATAAAAATGTATCATAGTTTCCACAAATTATTAAACAACACAACTGTTTTCAAAATCCATTTTTATCTTTGGTCATTGCTTAAAAAATGACCTTTTTTCTTTTTTCTTATTTTATCTAAATAAGATTTTATCTTATTTTAAAGGCTGAAAGCAGTAAGACTCCCTCTTAGGCTATAAAAATGAAACAAAGAACAGAATTTCCCTGCTTTTAAACCTTTTTTAAAAAATCTACAGTTTATTTTTGACCACAGCGCAAAAGTAATTTTAAATGACCACTATTGAATAGCATTTCCCAGAAGATCACTGAATTTCCACAGCAGCACTCTGAAAAGCTTCAGAGTTGCATTCAGCTGGATAGAACACAGAAGCGCTCCAAGACAAAGACTTAAAAAAACTAAACCAACGGCCCTTCAGCCCTCAAGAACCAGGCGTAAGAGTCATTAATTAAAATGTTGGATAATTGAAATAATGGGGTGAGGTCATTGAACTGTTCCCATTTTCACATTTGAAAATGTGGTAAGGGCCACACATGTTGTGAAACTAATTTGCCAAAATCTACAACTGTCAACATTAGCTAGCGAAGTCCCTGATGCTGAATATTGGCTATGAAAGGATGTTCTAACCTATAATAGTCGTGTTTTGCTTCATTGTACTGAAGCATTAACCTCCTATCTTTCTGTACATGCGCAATTCTTCCAGTGAAGGTTAGTAGTTATTACTTCTGTTCTTGTTTATTTCAAATGTCTAATAAGATTAAATGCCAAGGACGAGTGTTAATGATTTCTGGACCTAACAAAGCTCCGTTTAAAATGTTCCTCAAACAACCTTCAAGTAAATCAATTCAAAAAGACAATCAATTTATTTATAATGCTCACAATTATACAGTATCTCTTACCCAGAACGTTTTCTAATTAGCCTAAACCAGCACTAAGAAATGAAAGAATATAACGATAGCTATTCAATTTTAAACATAGTTGCTTTGAGAGTTTTGCTATCAGTATAAAATAGAAAAATATATTCAATACAACACTGTTTGTAAATGAAAAAAAAAATACAGATAGATTCACGAGTTTCATTAGAGAGAGAATGAGTGTAAAGTAAATTGAAAAAAAAAGATTAGTAAATATTAGCATGGCTCTTTGGAATACTTGATTCTGATTGAATAATCAAACAGTATTTGTATAATAACCACTAAACTGTATAATTGTTCTGCCTTGCAATCAATTTCCTATTCTGTGCTAGTTTCATGTCTCTCATAGCACTCCATGGTCTTGTTCGTTACACAAAGTAAAATAATTTCCACATATTACATGTCCATTTCTTTATTTGTTCATTTATTGTTAAGTAGCCATCAGAGGCGCGGGAAGATGTTTTCGGTTGGGGGTGCTGGGTGAAAGGGGGGGGGGTCACCTCATTTGACAACTCCACAAAGCACTACAAGCGCGTTGATATGAACACTCCTTTAAGTGGCATACACACTGGGAAATTTGACTGCATATCACATTTTTGAAATTATCGATAGTAGCTGATCAATCTCGGGGGTTGGGCTGGGTCCGCTAGGCTTACTTGTCTCCGTGCTCGTGCTGTGTCTGATTCCGTTGCTCGTCTCCGTGCTCGAGCTGGTTCACTTACGTCTGTGCTCGTGCTGGTGTTGTGGATGCCGATTTTGGAAAGTTTTTGCTGGAAAGGGCATTTAAAAAAAAATCTGAAATTTGCTTTTGCGCCATTATCTCCTTGTATTAAAGTTAATCTTGTTCGCATTCTGTATAGTTCATGTCTGATACCACGCGCCAGCATCACGTGTTCATGAGGATTAGGCTAATCATCCCATATAGAAAACATCACAAGTAAAATTAATCATGTTTATAAAGATAAACATGGGTTTATTATAGCCCACTTACAATTTACATTTCAGAGATCATTACAAATAAATTATTAAATGCCAAAACTGAATAAATTTAAACGAACAAACTTGGCGTTGCATTTGCAACCATGTGAAAACGGGGGGTGCTGCAGCCCCCTCAGCACCCCTACTTCCCGCGTCCCTGGTAGCCATGGTAATGTTCTGTCAGGTCTTCTTTTATAACTTCTTTTATATGATGTGAACCATGAGGACTATGTAAACAAGCATTAGCGCATTTGTAATTTCTTTTATTTGTAATGAAACAAAATGGATTCAATTAGAAAAGAATACAAATCGCTCATCTGTGAACTCGAGTTTATAACAGAGAACAACACTAAATTCAATCTCTTGCATGCATAATATCAAATTAGTCTTATTACTCTTATTCATTTTAATGTAGAATCTTATTGCATTTTATCTAACTTATTCATTTTTCTTCAATTTGTACTTTCTACTTTTATTGTATTTTTATGAAACTTTTTATAATTCAAATTTTTTTAAATACTTTTTTTTTTTAAAGCACTTTGAATTACCACTGTGTGTGAAATATGTGTATAATATATGTGTATTATATATAACTATATGTGACCCTGGACCACAAAACCAGTCTTAAGTCGCTTGGGTATATAATTAGCAATAGCAAAAAAAAACATTGTATGGGTCAAAATTATCGATTTTTTTTTTATGACAAAAATCATTAGGATATTAAATAAAGATCATGTTCCATCAAGATATTTTTTAAATTTCCTACTGTAAATATATCAAAACTAAATTTTTGATTATTAATATGCATTGCTAAGAACTTCATTTGGACAACTTTAAAGGCGATTTTTTTGCACCCTCAGATTCCAGATTTTCAAATAGTTGTATCTCGGCCAAATATTGTCCTATCCTAACAAACCATACATCAATTGAAAGCTTATGTATTCCAGCTGTCAGATGATGTATAAATCTCAATTTCGAGAAATTGACCCTTATGACTGGTTTTGTGGTCCAGGGTCACATATTGCCTTGTCTTGCCTCACTTTATCTATATATAATTTTTTTTTTGCCTGATTTTTTTCTGACATTTACAGAAAAGTATATAAGAGTGAAATCATGGTGAAAATACTGAACTGCAATAACGTTTGAATTTACAACCGGATGGACAGTTTGGATGTTGTCTTGTCCATCTGCTAAAGCATGATAAGTTTCAGAAATGAAGTCATGAGTGATCATCAGTAATGTGATTACTGTTCAGACAGTAATTAGTGAAGTAATCTTATTACAAACTGGAGAAGTCAGGGTGCAAATTATGGAGGGGTTTGGAGTAGTGATGGATGTTACATGATCTGACAAAAAAACAAAACAAAAAATCCACATCAGACCAATACCAATACCGAGTGCTGGATCGACGCATCCTTAATTTGCTGGGTCTGACGCCTGACACTTAATTAAAGCCAGTAAAAATGAAAGGTTTCGTAATTTACAACATCTATTCCTCCATCCCCTCATTCCACCATCTTACATAATCCCACTCACCATCTTCCTCCGTCTGTTTGACGATCTCCTCGCTCTCCTTGCTGCCCTCAGGGTTGGCCAGCACCAGCCGTAGTCTGACCGTCACGAAAGGCCTGAGTCCCCTCAGAGTGTAATGAGAGGAGGTGGGAATCAGCTCCTCAGCAGCAAACTCCTGCTGATTGAACACATACTGGTACTGTACGGTCAGGTTGAAGCTGTGGCAGCGTGTCACGGCGTATCCGAAAGTCTCCCACTGCAGGGTCAGCTGACGGGCGCGGATGTCCACCACGTTCACGTTCTGGGGACCATTGACTGGATCTGTGGGGATAAAAAGAGAAAGAGAAAGAGAAAGGAAGGTCAGAGATAAATATGATGGGAAATTGTCATAACATGGTCAATTTATTTTTTTGTCATATGAGAAACACTTATCAAAAGACATATCATTCTTTCATAAAAAAAATATATATGTACACTGTGCAAAAGGGGTAGGTGATATTTTTGTTTTTGGGTCTCTTCTATTCACCAGGGCTGCATTTATTTGATCAAAATTACATTAAATAGTAATATTAATATAATAGTAACAGAAATATTGTGGATTATTATTAGAATTAAAAATAACTATTCTATTTTAATATATTTTAAAATGTAAATTATTCCTGTGATGTCTTTTTATTATTTATTATTATTATCAACGTTGACAGTTGTGCTGCTTAATATTTTTGTGGAAAAAGTGATGCATTTTTTTCAGGATTCTTTGATGAATCAAAAGTTCAAAAGAACACCATTTATTTGACATACATATTTGACAGTATAAAAGTCTTTACTGTTGATTTTGGTCAATTTAATGCTTCCTTGCTGAATAAAACTGAACCCAGACTTTTGAATGGAATAGATTAAAAAAATTATAAAGCAATTTGAACTCATTAAATATTATCATCACCTGGTTCTGTGAAATACTTGATTCTGATTGGTCAATTGTTGCTTTTTGCAGTCAAATATTTTTATACAATTTCACAAAATAATTTAAAATCTAATCAATATTTTATGCCCATTTTTCATTTGGTAACAATGTAACAATGTATTAGTGCGATAAAAGAGTCATTATCACATCCGTTATATTTCAGCATTATATTTGGACAACCTGCTCTCTAGATGGTGTCAAAATTCTTTTTTTTTTTTTAGCAGATAACCACTTCTGTAATCAAAATCGCAAGAACTTTCAATAAATAAATAAATGCTACAACTAAGCATTACAACTATCCTCTGTTGTATATGAGATCCTAGAACAATATCGAGCAGTGAAACAAATAGTATCAGAGACTCGCCAGTGGATGCAGTGGGGTTGTTGGACAAAATCTCTAACACTAATTCCTCTAGATTAGAAGAAAAGCATAAAAGAGGCAGGCGACTGGTTTTTGACTTTGGCCTCGGGTGAATCTTGAGGGAGCCGCATGTGAAAAGGAGTTTTAACGTCTTAAGATAGTTTACATCATGGCAGCTCTCTTAGGGCGCTTTCATTCTCAAAGTTCTGAGAGTTCCTGGGTGCAGAGCAATTTGAGAACTGTGTCACGTCTAGGACAGACATCAGCGTTTTTCAGCTTCAATGGCTCAGTCATCAGTGGCTCCTACACATGGGAGTTTTAGACTTAGAAAGTTTGAAGCATTGCTTATTCAACTGCATTCTATTCAAGATCAAGCAAACCAGGAAAGATACGGTTTTGTTGTCTGTACCTATTTGGGAGCCTCATTTTAGGTTCTCTGCGGGAGATTAGTACTGAAGCTGAACTCTTAGCTGAGCAAACTGCTGAAAAATAACAACAAATGACCCAAAACCCTAAATTCTTTACTCCTGAAGGACAGATTACGGCTAATCTATGTTTAATCAGAGTTGCTTCCCATCTAAAGGTGCCATCTAAGCAGATTTAAGACTGTAAATCCTACTGTACGTGGTTAAGCCTCACTAGAATAGCTATAAAAGTAGAGACGTATGTCCGATCAGGCAATGCTTTGGCTTTCAGCCACTGAGGGTCCGTGTCCAACATGAAGCCCCCCGTCGAGGGAAGGTGTTGGGCGGGCAGGGGATTTGCCTGGTGGACAGGTGTGGGGTAACAGTATCATCATTAATCTGAAAGAAAGAGGTGAATATGTGAGAGCATTAGCAACACGCTAATGCACGGCCGCAGGGTACGCCGTGGTGCCATAGGTGGGCTTTTGGAGCCTGGATGAGGGCTGGTGTAGTTTAAGCAAGGGGGAGATGCTGATGGATGGTGAGCGTAGAGGGTCATTAATCGCAGACGTTGGGGAGAATTGCATAAGAGAAATCAATCTTCAGTACTGCTGCTGCGCTGCTTTGGCGCGATCTCTTCAGACCCAAACGCCCCGCAACATTTATCACACCTCCACCATCCCTCTCGCTCTCTCCGGAACGACAGGGGAAACTGCAAGCAATAAACATATCAATAGGTGTCCACCATACCCAGCTGCGTGGGTTTTTTAAACCGAGATATTCAGATGAGGGAAAGACAGAGGCAGGGAATGAACAACAGTGGAAAACAACAGTGAAAAATGAAATAAAACAAAATGTGTCTCATTCGCCATAATGAAATTGTATCATATATCGGCCAACAGCCATTCTGCTTTCTAGATATCAGCATCAAGCATTGAAAATGACATGATGACCCATTTTTATTTTTTGAAATAAACAAAGCATTTCAACAGTCATCTACTGTATAGAACAAATGGAAAAACAAGTGTAAAAAATACAGATAAAAATAAAACAAAACAATAAAAAAATATATTGTAAAATTGATAATAAAATGAATGACTAAATAAAATTGATATAATAAAATTATTTTTAATAATGAAATAAAACAATTCATAAATTAAAAAATAAATGAGAAAGAGAAAAAGATATCACAAGTCAAAGATTTTTTGTCATTTGTGAGTCTTGCAGAGAACAATAAAACACAGCAGGCTGACAGATGCTTTATTACACTTCTAAAGAGTCTTGTGCTTTTCTTCAAAGAAAATGTTCAGATATTTCTGCAAGGTTGCACTTTGCCTTCAAAACTCACTAAACCTTCCATCCAATGGTCATTTGTAGGCCAAAGTGGCACCATCGGTTACATGAAAACATGGCCAACCTTCAAAAACATCTCCATCCAATCAAAGAAAAACCCATCAAAGGTTAAAAGAGTGTGTGGATGGACACAAAATACTGTATATAATCTTTGCGCCAAAACCCAGTGATCTGCTTTGCTGTATACTGCCTACATAGACTGCTGCTTTGATATGAACAAACTTGAAAAATAAATAAATAAATACAAATCCAGCCATAAAAGTGCAATGAAATTGGTCCCGAAGTACTGCCCACATACAAAGCTGTGTAGCAAGGCAGCTCACAGGTTTTTAAACAAAGTCATTGCAAAATAAGAAAACGTTCACAGCACATAACACAATTAAAGAATATTGGACGTGGACAGGAAGTACGCACTGTGTGCCAGTTAATGCATTTATAGTATCTGATATCCAAAGACTCACCCCATGCAGTGACACTACTCAAATCAATTAGATTAACACTGGGAACAGATGTTGGGTCGTTTCTCTCCAGAGTGTTTTTTAATTACTGTCTGTCTTTTTGTAGCTGCAATAAACAATACTTAGCATTTAACTCTGGATGTAACTTTAAAACTTCTCCTTTTAATTAGGTGATGCGCGTCAAAGCGAAACGGTTGTACTTTGCGCAGCGTGAAGCAAGAATTTGCGTATCACGCTGGGACTTGACATTTGTGTCGGGCAGTGTTGGGCAAGTTACTCTGAAAATGTAATCAAATTACTGATTACTGATTACTCCTTTTAAAAATAATCACGTTACTGTTCTGATTACTTTATTTCAAAAGTAATTAGTAATTAGTTACATTACTAGTTACGTTACTTTTTTCTCCATGAAATTCATGAAATTCCAGCATACACGCTCCCAATAAGTATTTGTTATTAAAGCATCAACATTCACAGAACACTGTTATTTTTAACTAAAGCAAGCGGCTGCTGCCTGCATGGTTTGGTATTGTAATGACCCGGCAGTGAGCGCTAGCAGCCAGGTGCATTTGGCAGTAACATATAGAGACCTTGGCTTGTAACTATACTCTAATTACTATTTTGAAAATTATAACTCGTTAAATTACTCCGTTACTAAAAAAATTATCAAATTACAGTAACGCGTTACTAAGTAATGCGTTACTGCCTAACACTGGTGTCGGGTTACATTCCCAGCTAAGGAATATCTCACGGCTGCAGCAGTCACAAACATTGAGGACAACTGACATCATATAGAAGTTCCTCATACATACTGCTTCAGCATAAGCAGTTTTCACCTTGACTGCAGCTTTGAGCACTAAAACACTCAGCAAAGCAAAGTTCTGCTATACTGCGCTGCTACATTTTATCCAAGGGCATGCTGAAGGGTCAAGTGTCACTGTGTGGCAAAGTTGAACATTTTTAAAGAGATAAACTCGATTTTTATGAGGATATGGGGAAGGATGTTTCGTTAAAGTGCTGAGTTGCATTTTCACACCGTAAAAGTACATACAGTGGAAAAAAAGAGGGGAATTTAATAGTTCAACTAAAATGATAGTTTTGCCATTTTTTAATCACTCTTCTGTGATTAAAAAGAAGAGAAAGACACACGGTGTGGGACTATAACAGGGTGAGTTAATGATTTCATCATTCTTGGGTGAACTATTCCTTCGAGCGGCAGCAGCTGGCAACATCAGCAAGAGTTTCAAAGGCAACAAAATACATTTGGTTGTGATTTCACACTGATGATCTTAAGGGAAAAAAGTGATAGTGGAAGGGGAACAGGGGAAATGGAGAGAGAGACTCAGCAGATCAAAAGGAATATACTCTCTGTGAGGCCAACACCGCCGTCTGTCTGGTCGTCCCTTTGTGGTTTGCTGTTGTTGTGGTTTATCCTGTAGTACACAATAACCTCCAACAGCCACACATGCTACTATACTGTCTATTCTATAATGCATGACATGAATCCTAACAAATTAACCCTTGACTACATGATTTCTTCTATTCCTATCATACCTACCTTAAAAAATAAGAGTACTGTGGTAGTTGGACTTTTAAAATTTAAATTGCAATACCACTGTATACAGTACGGTTCAAAAGTTTGAGGTCAGTATTATTATTTTTTTTTATAATACTTTTATTCAGCAAGGATGCATTAAATTGATCAAAAGTGACAGTAAAGCCATTTCCAATGTTCTGTTTCAAATAAATGCTGTTCAATTGATCTATTGATCAAAGAATCC